CCCCCCCCCCCCCCTCCCTTTCATTTTCACCCGACCTACTCAAGAACATACCCTGTCTAAGACGATCATTTCCCTCCTCGGTAATTGGGTAGTCGTCTTTACTATAATTACTGACTATTCCCCAAAAATTCAAGTCCAACGGATCAGTAACATATTGACTTCACGATCACATAAACTCGTCCCCAACTTGCCAAGTATCTAACCTGTGTAGGAAGTTTGTGCTCTATCTCAAGAATTATTTACCCTGAATCAGATTCACTTTCAACTGTGGTGACCCAGAAAAACAAAAGTAAAGATAAGACGATTCATCTCGGGAAAGTGGGCCGCATTGCCCTGAATTCGCATAATTAGCCAAGAAAATATAGCAAGAATTAAAAACAATATTATTATACAGATTCCACAAAAATCAAGAGTTCAAACAATAATAATAAGAGTCTGCACTTTTAGCAAAAGAATCTGTATAGTCCTCTCATATAGCAAACCTTGCTGCATTAGTAACGACCAAAAACAATCACATAACAAAATAACTTGTTCACTTATAAGGACAAACAGCAAGGCCAGTAGAATCTAATTATTCTACTCAAAGTAAAACTTGGATTCCTCTTTTTTTTCCTCTTTCAAGTCACATTTCTTCATCACCATACTCATCATAAAATACAGTTGCAATTGTCCAAGATGGCCACCCATTGACATATATATATATCTTTTTTTATTTCAATTTCAAGGAGAAAAATGGTCTAGACGTCTATGAAAGTGTCATAACAATAGGAAAAATACAAGGAGGAAGTAGAAAATGGTCAACTGCACAGGCACAGGAGATTGCACGTAATGAACAGACGGTCACTAAAGCAGGCTCGCTTGAATCTACTTCCACTATGGAGAATAAGAGTAAAGGGCATGCAAAAACAACATAATGTTGTTATGACATGCAATACCAAATCCCCTTTTTTTGTATGGCAGCATTCTTCGATTGCAAAAGGGGTAATTTTTAAGCTTGACTATTTAAATATGTCATGCTACACTTGGGTGGCAGAGCAATCTATCTTTATACCTTCCTTCCCGGTTCACCAGGAAAAAAATGTCTCTACCACTGTGAGTTGTTTTATCTTAACTGAACATTTCTGGACACTACTGGGCAGACAAGCTAATCGTTGCACAACATACATGTAGTAGGTGTGGCATGGCATTGTGGTGAAATCAGGAGCTCGTTAAAATTATGAAATCGAAAAAAAATGGCATTTTTCTCCCAACTGGCCATTTTTATTGAATTTTTTTTTTTTTTTTTTTTTTTTTTTTTGGGGGGGGGGGGGTCAATATCTTTATTGTCCTTATTTTAGTCCATATTTCTGTGTTAATTTTACTGAGAAACATTGTTGACAGGCATAAAATATAATATCATAATTTCCAAGGACACTAAAGCTTTCAAAGTCACTTTGGTCACTCATTTTCCCTTCTGACAACAGGCGACCCTCACTTCCTTCAAACACAAAAATCTTTTCTATTCAAGATAGATCTGTCTTTTTTCACCAATAGCAAGACAAAAATGCACAAGCTTTAAGATGACACCATCAATAACTCTACATATTTACAAATTAATGAGCAACTGATTCCACCGTGTCATGACACATATTCATAGGACTAGGAGTAGGGGAGAGACACTTCAACAAAACATTGAAAGATTATAATAAAAGTCATTTATAAACTGCTAATGAATGGCAGGAGCAGGCTGGGACATCAATATTTCCATCAAAATTAAAGCTGAACATTGACACCAGGGTATTTTGACAAGAAAATAATTAGACAGTAGTAACCTTTACCCATACGGACAATTAACATTCACAAAATAAGTCAAACTGAAGGCTATACACCGAACGCGAGGAGGATGGCATGTGAACAGTGAGTTACAAGATGGTAGTCAATATAAGATTTCGTTGACATGCAACAAGTCACAGACAAGAGGAAACCCTTACCTGACCTATCTTCACTGACCCGGGATGCTCAGATGCATTGAGTGTGAAGCAATAATTAGTGGGTTAGACTAGAGTACTCATTTTTTAAGAAAAACAAAATGTCCATATATATTATATCATATAATTATAAGTTTTATATTATAATATTATAATATCATGATACGTGTACATATAACATGAGCTACAGAATGACTTCTCCTCAAAGTTCAATACAAAATTAAAACCTTACAGAATATTTTTTAAACATTCATAAAAAAGGAAATTGTAATAATAATAAAAAGTAAAATAAGATGAAGAAGAATATGATCAAGACAAGGTAGGCGAACAGACGTGACAAATCCGAAGAACCATATATATAAAAAATTAATTAGGCCTATAGATAATAGTGAGCGTATATTATACAATGTTGTTGTTTTTTTAGCCTAAATTGAAAGCAAACGAGCACAGCAGGAAAAAAATGCAGAAGAGGGAATAATTTTAAAAATAAAAGAAAGCAATAAAAGAGAGATCAGAGAAGACCAAAAAAAAAAAATAGAGATCAGATAGGAGACAATTTCAAAGTAAAATAGCAAAATATAATGATTAATTAAGAGAGAAAAAAAGAGGCAGGGGACAGGGAAAGAAAAAAGGAAAAATGGGAACAGTCAGCAAAGAAAAAAAAGGGAGTGCTTAGAGACAGCATGGATAATATTAATAATGGAAAAATTATGTTATGATAGACAAAGAATTTGTCCCAAAGCCAAAATTATGATATTATAAAAATGCACAACATAATATCATCTATTTAACGATCTTTGAAAAAGTTTTAAAAAGATGGATTTGAAAAAATAATGATAATCACAACGAATTGAAATAGAGACGACAAAAAAGTAAATAAATAAAGTTTATTATAATAACAACACTTACAGAATTATAAATGAAATGGAAGATTGAGAGAAAGAGGAGAGACAGAGAGAGAGA